GCAAATAGGTGCCATTTGGTCAATTTAAACAAAAAAGGGGATTTAAACATTTTTATGATTCTTTCTCAAAGCTGCCACTGGAACAGTTTGAACCCAGGCACTGCACTTGGTGTTAAATAAACCACGCAGAACAGCAGGATTCTTAAAATGAATTTTACTTTTAAAACTGTACTTAAATCTATATCTTAAAACCAAAACAAAGCATCCCCACCCTGGCATTGGACACCATTCAGCTGGGGCTGCCTGCATGGTGACTGTTGTCTTTATCTTGTTTGCAAAAACTAATTTCATACGCAAATATTTTTTAAAAACTCCACAGTGGAGGTGGTATTACTGGTGTTGCAGTGTATTTACCCTTAGCTATTTTTCTGTTAATGGCTTAAAATAAGAAATCAATGAGAAAATATTTTGTTCTTGTAACTCTTAAGAATTCCTATATTGATCTTTTGGATGTGATTTTATCTGTCTAAATGTCACATTGTCCATTTATCTCTCTTGCCTTTTCTGTGTGTTGCTGACTGCTTGTCAGTGCTGTTCCCCTCCTCCTCCCCAACAAAATCAGTGTAGTGAACAAGCAGTCATGTTTTCTGTAAGCATCATAGGAAAAAAATGAAAAAAAAAAAAAAAAAGGGGTTTCTGAGATCTTTATTGCATATGCACTTTTAATACATATGCACATTTTTCTCTGAAGATGAGAGAAGAGGTATGTTGACAGGCACAGACCTGCTATCTTCTGACTTTTTACTATTTTATAAATAGTACACATGCTTTAAACAGAATGTTGCCTTAAACAATGCTTTTCAGAAAGGCTCCTTAAAAAAAAAAAAAAGGGAAAAAAGGCAATTTAAAATTCTAAATATAGTCTAAGCAATTCTACATTGCAGATGCAGTCTGTGACATATCCTTCTTAGTTAACCTTGTTCATGCCAAAGGACCTGTTTGTTTCTGTCATAAAAGAGAGTTTACTTTCCCAAATAGCAATGATACTAAAGTATGGTTATAACAATCTTCTGGGTTTATTCTGCTTCACTTTGATACAAAGCACCTGAGAGGGGCTTTTCCCCTTTCCAGCCTATGACAAGAGCTGAGAAGGAGCCCTGTCCTGCCCCCTTTTCAGAAGCATAAATTCAAAATTCCTGCATTATTACTTCACTGAAGTGCTGTTTAAAAGAACATTTTTGTGGAGGCACCTTTATCCCTCTTGAAGAGCAAGTCTGCAGCCTAATAAGTGTAATGACATAATTTCTTTTGCTATTTAGCCTAGATATTTCTCTGCTTAGATCCATCCTATTATATTTAATTATCATTTCCCTTATTCCTGGTCCTTCTGCTAATTTTGAGGCTGTTTCCGATGCACAGATCACTCCCTTAAAATTATTTTTTTACAATGTTCTTTAAAGCCTTGTTGACTTTGGAGAGGAGGTTGGATAACAGGGTGAGTGTGGTGTGTTCACAGCTTTCACAGGAGTCAGTAAGGGAGTAGTAGTGTCAGGGGTGCTCAGCAGCATCACAACCAACAGCAGGGTGGGCTGTGGCTGCCCACAGCTGGGAGGCAGGTTCTAACCTCCCATCTGAGGACATGAAAATTAAAAAGGGGGGGGGTGATCCCTCTTTGCATCACAGTCCATGGTAACTTCAGTTGTCAGGAGGCGTTGGACAGCTCGAGCAGCACTGTCTGTGCAGATGCACTGCCTTAGGAATGCAGGCTTTGGCTTTGGGCTGTTTTCCAGAGAGCAGAGCAGGAACCTGGGGAAAAGCTGGGTTTGACACTGGCTTCAGACTGAGGTGAATGTCCTTCTGTCCCCTCTGCAATCCTTCATGCCTGTGAACGTTGCTTTCTGGAACAGCTGCCAGACTGGTGCTACTGAAATACCCCCTTCTCAGATGTGTGTTCACCCCTGTGGGGTATCTACATGATACTCCAGTAGCCTTTTGTTTGGAGAGGTGTGGGATGCATCAGCCTGCCAGAGCTGGCTCTGCTCTATGGCCATGGCAAAACACTGTCCCACCCAGGTTGCGTCTTACATACTTTTACTTCAACCATCTTCTTCAAATGGTCCACGTTCCTCTGTGTCATACACTGGGTAAGCAGCAGGAATATCTTGAGGTGTCATGGGAGAGCAAGGAGAGAAGGCAAAGAAGTCTTTATGAAAGGTTATTAACTGTGCTAGTACTCTCTCATCCTCTTTCCTTCTCCAGGTGCTGTTTCCTTCCCTCATTGTTTTGAAGGAGGCAGGTAAGCCATCTGCTGCCATCATCATTACTGCTCTTGCCCTTAAAACATTTCCTTTCATTATTCCCAGCACAAGCCATACTAGAGAGAGACTTGAGATCTCAGATGGTGTTAGAAGAGTCCTCATCCTTGAGAGCATTCTAGGGTGCTCTCTTTTTTCTGGAGATAGTTGTATTCAGAAAATCTAGGAATGATTGAAGTGACCATTTGCTATATGCAACAAAATTTAAAGGCTACACATGCATACAAGCCAGATCCAACTGGGTGTTTCCTTTTGTTTCTTCTCTGCTTCTGAGAGGCTCTACCTTTGTGGATTTTGAATTAGGATTGTCAGCTCTCTCTGGGGAGAGCGTGTCCAGGAACTTGGTTAAGCAGGAGGCTGACAGGGCATCCTTCTCAGTGCCCTGAGTTTGGAGCTTTGGAAAACAAGGATGAGATGTCATTCCCTGCACAACAACTCAGCTCCTGATCTAGGTACTTGGAAAATGGAGAGCCATGTGTACCCAGGGACCTGGGGCGGGGGGGTGGATCTTGAAGGCTGCTGCCTCTGCACCTCCTCCACCTGTGACTTGAGTCAGCAATGCCATGGGTTGCACTCCATAGGCTAAAGGGATTGAGTGGTGCAAATGCATCAAGGTCAGGAGAAATTACTGGAACACCTTAAAAGGTGGAAAGAGGGGTCAGGGCAAATTGATCTAATTTTTTTTTGTGTGAAAAATGTGTTTTTCTCTGAAATGAAAATATTTTGTGTACCAAAGCCACCTGCCACTGTGGGGCTTGCAATTTCCCACTCAGAGGGCAGGTCTTAGATATCACATGAGCTTTTCCTTTTCTGCTTGATGTCTTGTAGTACATTTAATGACTAGCAAAACACGAATACTTCTGGATGCAGCTTCAAGACTGGCTATAATTTGGCAAGAGACTAAAAGTGACAAATAATGGCTAAAAGATGTTGGTTAAACTTTGGTTGCTTTTCATAAGAAGGCTGAGATAATTTGCTAAAAACTTTATTTTTGTGAAACCATGACTTTCTTGTATTAATTTAGAGGGTTGGTTTTTTTTTTTTTGAGGGATGAGACTTTGCATTTCACTAAATTATTTTATAAGAAGGCTTTTTTAAAAAAGGGGACAAATACAGTCTGTTACATTAGCGTGAGGGGTCTCATCTTTCCAATTTTAGCTGTCATTGGCTGAAAAGTTCTTGTTTCTACTCCTGGCTAATAGAGCTGCTTCTCTAGCTCAGCAGGTAGAGGCAAGTGCTGTCTAACTGCTCAGCCCTTCTAATTGCATCCTTACAGCCCGTGCTGGCTCTCTAATCTGGCTGTATAAAGTAATTAAGTTGCCCCACAGTAATTAAGCTGCTGGTGCTGAACATCAGTGCTGCCCTGGAGAGGGGCTTGTTCCTCGGGTGTAGCTCGGGCATTTACTGGCTCTGGAGCACGCTCTGGGGGTGTACTTGCTGCTTCTGCACTTGGATGTTTCCTCTTGGCAAAGTCTGTGGTTTAGTATCTGTGAAAGAAGAATGTTCTCTGGATAATTCTGTTTGCAGTTATATTTAGGAATTGAAATTCCGTGGTGCTGCCCCTTAACAAATTAGAAAGATGAAAAGGCTGTTTTGTTTTACATTCTCAATATGGTAACTGAGATTCATCAAAGAGCAGGCGTGTGCCTCAAACGTGCTTTGTTTTTTCACTGAATAAGCTTTGGGTGATGATGGTTCCCCTTCTTACCAGTCCTATGTTGCAGTGAATCCCCACCCAGATGTGTCTTCCCCTTTCAAGGCTAGAACAGTTTCAGCTGGACTTTTTGCTGAGCCACCACAAAGAATTAATCTTAGCAAGACAGCAGCATTTGGATGTGGGTCTTTTTTTTTTTTTTTTTTTTTTTTTTTTTTTTTTTTTTTTTTTTTTTTTT